TCCAATATGATATTTTGAAATTTTAAAATCATACTGATTCGAGACGTATCCAAATATATTTTTCGCAGTTATTTCGGAAAATATGTGCGTTGGCATTTTTGTTGACATCTGCTCTGGGCAGGTGTTCGATTCAGCCGCGTTGGTGCTTGCTAGTTGTACGAACTTGTACGAACTGCGAACGAAAAATCAAGTTATAAAAACTTGAACAGAGCTTAACCTTCACGACTATAAGCTTGTCTATTTATGTACAAACAAAAATACTCCATAGATTCAACAACATCATTTACAGAAAGTTGAACTCTCCGATGGGAATCGATGCGTTCGCAAACAAATAGTGTGCATTCCTATTTATGCATTGTTCACAAACGAACGTTACGCGCTGACACTCTGCAGAGTTCCTAATTCTTCTGTTTCGATTCAATTCAAGATAATTTAATGATTAGAAAATTCAAAACTTCAAACTATTATGTGATGTTTCTGATTATCTGATCTTACAATTATTGCTGTGTGACTGTGTCTATACTATAGAGTATAGATCAATCATCGAACTATTTTCCACATTGGTTATTAGCTAAATGTTAAATATTGCCGGAAATATCTTGGATAATAATCTTGCTTAGCTACTATAAAGCTTTATTACAATACAAACTTGATTGAGAAATCGGGCAGAAGCCACCCGTGATGAATGAGACAAATTTGTCTGTCTGTGTTTGCACTTTCAACTTTGCAGAGAATGAGAGATGCTGTCAATTTCACATTTTCACTGGTTTCCAATTTGGACTAATTGTCATTTTGTCAGAAATTTATAAAATTGTGGTTAAATTCAACTTGAATGCAATCGTTTATAGCTTAAGGTTGTAGCTTTATAGGCTATTTTAGGTACCGTAAAATGGAGTAACTTAGACCGGCGGGGTAACTTAGACCACTTTTCGTTTTTTTAACAAAAACCCCCACAACTCAAAAACTATTTGACATAGAAAAATTTTGTCAATGAGCATTAAAGGCCTAATAACTGAGGCTACATAACACAATAGAAAGATGTAAAAAGTTTGCATATCTAATAGGTTAAAAAATTAAAAATGTGACCCACGAAAAAAAAGCTATTATTTAAAGCCTGTCAGAGTACCCCCTCCAATTTTTTTATTTTTTGGTTAAATAACTCCAGGTTTTGATGCATTGTAGTAGAATGCAAATGACAAATTTTAGGAAAGTGTCATAGTTTGCAAATGGGGGGCGCCGCACCCCAATGGGTGAAATGTGACCACCTAATGGCAGCCGTCATAGTGGCAAACTAGAGCTTTTTTAGAATCAGTTCATTTTTAATTTCCTCATTTGCTCAAGATTTAAGCCAATTTTTTATGTATGATAATGCTGGTATCCAGGATACTTTACTGGTCTACTTATAGGACTCAAAAATGAACTTGAGGGAGAGTCTAAAAAACTCTCTGCTTTGCCACTATGCATGATACTTTACTGGTCTACTTATAGGACTCAAAAATGAACTTGAGGGAGAGTCTAAAAAACTCTCTGCTTTGCCACTATGGCAGCCGTTATGGGGTAACATTGACCGGTTTGGAAATTAAGTTAAAATTACCATATATAAGACTCTGTAGAGTCTGAAACACGGTTTGGAAATTAAGTTAAAATTACCATATATAAGACTCTGTAGAGTCTGAAACATAAAGAAAAAAACATTATTAGGTGTATTAAACATAAAATATGTTATATAGGTACCTATGGTAATTATAACTTAATTTCCAAGCCGGTCAATGTTACCCCATCATGGCTGCCATCAGGTGGTCAAAGTTCCCCCATTGGGGGCAGAGCCCCCCATTTGCAAACTATGACACTTTCCTAAAATTTGTTTTTTGCATACCGTCAAACGGGGTAAAAAGGGACGGGCAGGGTAAATAGGGACGCGCGTCCCACATTTCGTAGAAATGTTGTGGCAGCTAAACTAATCAAAATATTGCAAAACTAAAAATAGTAGTGTAAACTTCAACATTTTTACTACCTATCTATTATGTATAAAGCTAGTCAAGAAATCAAACATTTACTATCTCTGAAAAATCGCTGAAAAAAGTGTGAAAAGTGCAATTTTGGAAAAGTACCTCTGCTAAGGTCTGGAGCAAAAAAAATATTCACCATATTGAAAAATTTTACTTACATAATAGTTGCACCCAGGTGTCGGCTTGAAAACGTAATTGACAGAATTTGCCTATCTCATTCAAAAAAAAATAATGGCAGTCATATCCGCGCGATGGGGTAAAAAGGGACACCCCCTGGGTTAATTAGGGACACCCTTAAAAATGCAGTTACAGTAGAACCTCAGTTAGCAAATGCTCTAGTTAACAAAAAAATTGATTAACAAAAAATAATTTTGATTACATTTACCTCGCTTGGCAAAAAAAATTCACCTATCGAAAAATTAGTGCATCATCGGTTGTCACAAAATTGTACATAGAATGCTATATATAGAATTGTGCAAAGGCATCAAAGAATGAGAAGTAATTGACCTAAACTATGATTTATTTCTTCAAAACATATGATGGTTGTCACTAAAACATTATTTTCTGTTTCAGGTATGTTTTTCACGATCTTTTTTGTTATAGTGAAATCACTAGACTCAATTAAAGTTGTGCAAAATTACAAACCATCCTGTAAGCTTACAGATACAGAAGAAATGCTACATGGCTGCTGATATGAAGCTTGCAGTGGACAAGGTCATTGTCAATGCTCAATGGCATGTCCATGGATACAGTAATATCACATTAATAATACGGTAATTAATGAATATGGTATGAAAAAAATGAATATATATATATGGTATGAATATGATATATGGTATGAATATATCAATAAAGGAAAAACAAGTAAAAATCACAGAAAATGTCATTTATTTTACATCTACAATGAAAGAGGAGGACTTCAGAGTACTGTTAGTAATTGATGAGTACACTCTGCATGCTTCAAATGTTTGAAATTGAGTTTTATTTCATGTGTCCCTTTTTACCCCATTTCAAGATTAATTCAGGAGCCTTTTATATTGCGTTTAGCGCCTTACAAATAGCATATGGAATTTTTTTGAAGACACCATTTGATAGCCCTTGCAAAGAGCTATAAAATGAGCCTAAACTTTTTTCTGAAATGTTTCACGGTAAGAATTTATTAACAAAAACGCTCAAAACCGTCCCTTTTTACCCCATTTGACGGTATGTAACTAGAAGAGTTCTACTACAATGCATCAAAACCTGGAGTTATTTTACCAAAAAATAAAAAAATTGAAGGGGGTACTCCAACAGGCTTTAAATAATAGCTCTTTTTTGTGGGTCACATTATTAATTTTTCAACCTATTAGATATGCAAACTTTTTAATTTTTCTATTGTGTTACGTAGCCTCAGTATTAGGCCTTTGATGGCCATTGACAAAATTTTTCTACGTCAGATCGTTTTTGAGTTTTGGGGTTTTTTGTTAAAAAAACGAAAAGTGGTCAAAGTTACCCCACCGGTCAAAGTAACCCCATTTTGCGGTAGCTCTTTTTCATGGGTCACATTTTTCATTTTTTAACCCATTAGATATGCATAATTATTTTATCTTTCTATTGTGTTACAAAGCCTCAGTATTAGGCCTTTAATGACCATTGACAAAATTTTTCTATGTCAAATAATTTTGGAGTTTTGGGGGGTTTTTGTTAAAAAAACTAAAAGTGGTCCAAGTTACCCTGGGAGTCTAAGTAACCCCCTTTTATGGTATCCATACTTTACTGGTCTACTTATAGGACTCAAAAATGAACTTGAGGGAGAGTCTAAAAAACTCTGCTTTGGTAGCTTTGCCACTATGTATGTGAATCCCCAGTGCAAACTCAAAAATGCATAAGAAATTTTGTGTTCACATCAGTCTGCATAATTACGTGTTTTGTTGCCTCTAACGTAAAGATAAATGTTATTGTTGCTGTTCGTAGTATAAAATTAGAGATTTTGGGTAACATGTGCACAGGACTTTGCAAATGAGTTTGCGGCTACTGCTGGCTAGCAAATGGCTCTTCATGTCCAGCATATGGAATTCACGGCTCAAAGAAATGAAATCACAGCTTGCAAATTTGTTTACAAAACCATGGCTTGAAAAATCCAGTTGCGGTTCAGAGAGTATATATTTCCTCACTAGGAAACAAGTATCTCTATCAGTTACCTACGCTAACCAGATTCACCAAGTTTCATAAATTCTTAGTGTCTGTGTGACCAAAGTAACTGGAATTTCAACAACCTTTGACCAGAGTGCAGAGTTTAGTGAATGTGTTCTAATTTTTGCATTTGTATACCAATAACATTGCTGACAGTACCTAAACTGCAGTGCCAGTGCAGTGCAATTGCATTTCAACCATAATTACCAAATTGTGGATTGAGCCTTGAAGCCTCATCCGACTAACTGGAAATTTTACAAATCATGCAGCCGCTGGTCACACCGTCACAGTGTCACTGGTGTACCTCCTGCTCTGCTGTTAGCATTGCCTTTAAATGCAATAATTTCAATCCAAATGTGTTGGCAATATCTTCTGAAGGCTTTAATTGTGCTACTGATGCATTGCCAAAGATCTTAAGATGTTCACCTCCTTTCTGCACCATGGATTTGTGGAAAATTTATTTGCCAATATTTTGGTAAAAGCAATCCATATATAAATAAGAAAAATCACTGGTGATATCAATGTCAGCCTTTGTTCAAATTAATTTCTTGTTTTGTTTTCAAGTGAGATTGAAAAATTATAGCTTATTTTGACAGGCTCATATCATAAAGAAAATTTTACTAGGTATGCTTGCTAACTAAATATCTTGCTAACTGAATTTGATAACTTATTGTTATTGCTGCAATATGTTTTAAGCTCATTCACATCTTATAGCTGTTAGTATTTCTATTCATTATCAAAGTCCTATTACTTAGGAACCAAAAATGTGCTGCATGTTAAGTATTTGGTCAAGTTATTTTTTATTCATGTGCAGGGCATTAATTTAATATATTAATTACTTGTTGAGGCCAATGTTGATAGTGAGATAGCAGCACCATGGACTCTGATATGGAAGACAAGCAGCTCTCTCTGACATGGAACAACCACAGCAGCACATACAAGACCATGTTCAACATGCTGCGACACAAGGTATCTGAAATTAATGTATACATAAATGATCAATAATGTGAAAGAAATGCATGTGATAAAGTAATTACCAAGGGTTACCAATTAACCAAGGATATATTGGTTTTGCAACTTATCAGAGCTTACAATGTTTCTCATGAATAAAGTGGAAGGTGTTCATCCATTTTGACTAAAATTGATAAAAAATGTGAATTTTTTATGTAATGCATATATTTTGCTTGTACAATCAACCTTATTTAATCATATCTTGCACCAGCACTCATAATACCTAATTCTCAATGAATTAGGATATAATATTTTATTTTATCTCTCTGACCAAGTACGTATGTACAAGTCAGTGTGAAATTTATGTAATATCTCTTAGTTTACTTGTCATGGAGAATTCAAGCAATGTATTACGTATATATGGTATATAGGTACATATTTTCAGCCTCAGTTTACCTGTTTAAAAATCATTCATAGATAATAGCTGGTTTCCCAGATTTTTTTAAGGCACCTTTGACTTCACTGAAAAAAAAATATATATATATATATATATATTTAAGTATTATGAAATATATGTACATGTATTTAAGTAACAAATCATCAACATTTTTGAGAGAAAATATATGAATTTTATTACTAATCCATGTCTTGCTTGAAAGTTTCAATTTTCATTCATTGAAGAAGGACTAAAAACATCATTTTTGCAAGCCTACTCATACCCATGAAATAGCTGTAATAACAATTGTTTTTCCCCAGAACCTCCTCACGGACATCACCCTGGCATGTGATGGACAGCAGTTCCTGGCACACAAGCTGGTACTGGCTACATGCAGCCACTACTTCCAGACAATGTTGTGTGCAGTGCCTGATGGCGGGCACCCTATAGTGTACCTGCGGGATGTGCCAGCCTCAGAGATAAAAGCCATTCTTGAGTTCATGTACACAGGGGAAGCCTGCGTGCCACAAAGTCAAGTGGGCTCGCTGCTCAAGACGGCCGAGTGCCTTAAAATTAAAGGACTTGGAGTTCAGCCACATGAAGAACTTTCCAGTGCCAGTGAGGACCTAGATGATGATCTGGATGCAGATGGTAATGTTGTAGACAGTAGATGTAGGGTGGAGTCATTTAGAAAGTTTGAAATCAGTACTAAATCGGAAAAATTATTTACTCATTCCAAGTCTTTATTGACACCTGCTGTCAAGAGGAATTTCTCCCCGGAAAAGAAATATCTTAGCACGAATTCTGCCACAGACATCTTGGTGTCATCACCTAAAAAAATGAAAACCTCAGCCAGTTCTAGTGCTCATTCAACTGATGAATATGGCTCCCAAGTTGTGTTGTCTCCTAACACAACTACTGACGCCACTACCTCGTCACGGACCGATAGTGTTGATAACAAATTTTTCATACCCTTTCAAAGTATGAAAGCTGAACCCCATTCCCCTGTAGACGTAGAGACCGTTGGTGACAACGAAAATGTGTTAGAGTTGACAAAAATAAGTGAGGCCCAGGCTCTGAAGGACTGCCAGTCAGGCAGGGCGCCTCTTTCAAGAAGCACCAAGGACGCTCTTGCTGAAATCTTTGACTTGGAAGACAAATACAGAACTGTGAGTAGCTCAGTAAAGCCTTCAATCAACATTTTTTTTTCAAACATCATTTTTTTCAGTTCACGCAATCATCATTTTCAATCATCACAATCATCATTTTTCAATCATCAAAAATTTTTTTTTTTCCAATTCACACCCTGGGCTTCCTCAAAGCCACCCTTTGTGTTTAGGGTTTTGACAAATTCGATATCTAGTCATGCACTGTCTATATTTGTTTACTCAACTGTGTGAATATTTGAGTTTCCAAGTAGACTTCTGCATGTTGACAATTATTCCCTCAATGTATTTACAATGTAATATATTCTAAATATCCAATTGATTTTATCCCAGAATGTTATGCTGTGTATCCAAAGCAGTGATGAATACCTACTGCATTTTATAATAATCCTTTCATTGTATTCGTGCAGGATCGCAGTTTACCATCAGCAACTAACCAAACTAGTCTACACAGTTTTTCTAGTAACAGTCTGTGCGGGAGACAAATAGTAAAAAACCAGCCCATCACATCCATGATGCGGTCCAGTGACACCAGTAGAAATGGATTGCCTTCTTTGGAGGAACAGACTTCCACAAGCCATGAAGGGTCTGAATCGTTTTGTGGCAAGAGCTTAGTTGAAAATGGGCGAGTAGCCAAAGGTGAGGCAAAAGAGACGAAGGAGGAGGAAGAAGCTCTGGCTTGTAACCCTTCGAGTTTTGAAGAAGAGGCGCAGTTCTACCTTGAAGCTTTCACTCGCAGCGCCGGGCTATCGTTGGCTGCATCATCACCCCTGGGCGAGGACGCCCTGCCGGGGCTGGAGTGTGCGGCAAACTCTCAGGTTCTGTGCTGTTCTAGCCTTGCTTTTAATCTGAGTTATTGTAGGTTGAAAGTGGATTGCATTGATTATAGGATTTTCTGTGTGAGCAAAAGCAGCTATGTATGGGTGTTGAGAAGTTTAGAGGTAGAGAGAGGATGTGGCTGGAGGGTGTGGAAGGTCAATGAGAGGATGTAGCTACAGAGTGAGGAGGGACTCAGATGTAGCTGCAGGGTGTGAATTCATTGTTCTTATTTTTTCCCACCAGAGAGTGCAGGATAAAAATATGTTCACTGATTCATTTTACCACCCGTTCTAGTTCTGCTTGTGGCTTGTTCTCTAAACTCCTGAACAATTTCTTTCTTACAGTTATTTTTCCAGTTAAAAATATCCTCAGTAGGTATCATACTTAATTCTTCAATTTACTGAACAAGATGAGCAACTGTGCATTTTAATAGTAGTTGAAGTGATGTCGCTTTTGCCCGCTTGCAGGAAGCCACCGCTGCTCGTGGAAGTTTCGGTGCGTCGGCGAAGGCGGCGGAGCTTGAGGACCTCGAGAACCGGCCGTACACGTGTCCCATCTGCCGCAAGAGCTTCGGCAAAGCCGCCATCTTGAAGCGCCACCACCTCGCCCACTTCCGCCCCTACAGCTGTAACGTCTGCCAGCGCTCTTTCACCCGCAGGGAGGTTAGTAACTCCCACATGTTGAACCTGTGCCACGTTACAGGTTCTTTTACATGTCATTCGTTGCAGGCTTGTTGATCATCTTGTCACGTTGCAGGCTTGGTGAACATCTTGTCACGTTACAGGCTTGGTGAACATCTTGTCACGTTACAGGCTTGGTGAACATTTTGTCACGTTGCAGGCTTTTTAAACTTGTCACGTCGCAGGCTTGTTGAACATCTGTCACGTCGCAGGCTTGTTGAACATCTGTCACGTTGCAGGCTTGTTGAGCATCTGTCGCGTTGCAGACTTGTAGAACATCTTGTCACGTTGCAGACTTGTAGAACATTTTGTCACGTTCCAGGCTTGTTGAACATCTTGTCACGTTGCAGGCTTGTTGAACATCTTGTCACGTTGCAGGCTTGTTGAGCATCTGTCACGTTGCAGGCTTGTAGAACATTTTGTCACGTTGCAGGTTTTTTAAACTTGTGTCACGTCGCAGGCTTGTTGAGCATCTGCCACGTTGCAGGCTTGTTGAACATCTTGTCACGTTTCAGGCTTGTTGAACATCTTGTCACGTTGCAGGCTTTTTAAACTTGTGTCACGTTGCAGGTGTTGGCGGAGCATCTGCAGGAACACAACGGAGCGGACATGAGACTGCCGTGCCCTGTCTGTGCCATGACCATCAAAAGAAAAAGGAACCTGCAGGCACACATCAAAGTCAAGCACCCGGAGTATTACCGCCACAAGATAGAGAACAAACTGACGCTCTTCTGAGACACGGCCACGGACGCCTCTGTTCCCTTTTGATACCTCACGCATGTTCCTTGCTAAACGATGTCCGAATGACTAAATGTTGGTTGAATTTGCAGGAATAATCTAGAACGTATAATCTGTACGAGTGGCTAAGTAGTGAACTAGGTAATTTTCTGCCAGTTGCATTATCTTTATTTTATGCACCTCTTTTAACAGACGTGTTTTGTATTCGTTTTAGGATGTTTCGTTGTGGTAGTCCGAAGTTCTCATCATTATTCAACTTCGGGAGTTCATTAGAGCAGTGTGGAGTGTACTATATTTTATAAACGCTAGGTAAGCTTTCTGCCATTGTTCAGTACGGGTCTAAAAACTTCCCGCGACTCGAGCAGACACAGAAAATCCGTCGGTTTATGGCACGCGCGGTCTATTTTGTCTGGTCTTTGATATAAGTTCTTACTAGTGATGGTAAATATTTTGATGCCGATACTTTCCTGCAAGTGAGCACACGAAAAAGAGGAATATAATTGAGAATACCTACTACAATTTTACGACTTCTTGGGCTCCTCGCAACACAAGTAGCACACTTACATTAATCCCTGAAACTGCCGCACGGGCGCTGGAAATTCTAATCCAAAGATTTCATGTCTTTTCTATCGCTTCATCGGATCATTTTATATCAATTGTTACTATATGCACTACAGAATAATGGCTGTCCAGAGTTTGCTAATTTCTATTTATTCCATGACCTTCTGTGGGCTGTACGAATTAACGAACTTTCTGCGCGGCCCATGCTTCCGTCCAAGTTTTATCAAGACATGCTGTATAATAAGTGTATTGCAACCATGAACATTTTGTTGTCATGTGTTTCTCATGAACGAATATGTCTAGTTTTTAGTGCTGCTTTTATTGACGTACAGTTTTTCAATCTTCATAATGCAATGTCGCGCTTCACGCTGACCGGGTTTCTACACTCAAAAATATTCTCCACAATTGTTCGGTACATGTGGCAATTTTGATGCAGCTTGAGGTAGTACTATTCAGGCCAGTGCCTGTCTTTTCCGTAAATATTATTACGGAATTAAATGTCTGGGCATTCCACAAAGTTTTGCTTTGGTGTTACTAGAAACTAGTGATGATCGCCCGCCTAGCAACGAGGTGATGAACAACTTTCAGGCCGCTTTGCCTAGTAGGGCCTGAGGTGGTGGTTGCCAACGTTTCCATGGCATTGTGTACCACAAAGAAGTGAATCATTTTTATTATTAATATTATTACTTATACTATATCGCTTATAAGTTTTGAGAAATTGTAACGCCGGATACCTTAAATACAAAGTGCATTTGTAAGTGTAGTTTTTAAATTGATATAAAGCAAACTAGACGCTTTTGATGCGGTTTAATTCTGGTACATTTTTGACGCGGTTTATTTAATTCGGTACATATCGCCGAACTTAGTCCAACGTCAGGTAATCCTGTAACTGTACAAATCAATAACTTATGTTTTCAGTATTTAATATATAAACACATTTAGCTGGAAATACCGAAAATTTTCTTGTTCTTTTGTGTTCCAAGAATGTTCCACCTTAATTGGACTGCCTTCGCCAGCTTAGCATAGCATTCTTACGTAGCAATGATAATTTGTATAGTTAAGTATCTAATTTCTGCCTCAACATTCATATTTAGAATTCGAGCTTATCATTCCTAACCTAGAGGGCATTTGTGGTTGTGTGGGCATTTACGGGTCAGCTGCATCAGTCAGCAGTTCGCGCGCTAGTTCCAACCTGGACATTGAAGTTAAAGTTGCAAAATACAAGTTTGTTTCTGACTCGGTATGAAGTTAATACGTTAATTATGAGTTTAGTTCGTTGATTACGAGTTTGTTTCTGACGATGTATGAATTTTATAGACTGAACATAAATTTGTTTCTCACGGTGTTCGGATTTTAATTAGTTGATTACAGTTTTGTTACTGACCTCCTCCAACTTTAATATATGCAATATTTAAAATACAAATTTGTATTTGGCGGCGTCCGAATTGGATATGTCAAGTATAAATTCCTTTCCGATCATGTCCAAAAATAATGTTTAATACATATCCGTTTCTGATGTTAGATGCACATTTGTTGTGGACAGTGTCCGTATTGAATCTGTTGCGTATTGATATTTGCAAAAATTTCTGGTTGTCAATTTGTTTCATGCGTGTTTTGGAAGTATGAGTGCGTAGTGAGTGTGCACTCACTTTCTAGTCAAGTCCCTTCATGCTTGAAAAATGTACATTGTACTCCTCTGGAAAGGATCGCGGACTGAGAACTATTTCCATAGTAGCTGTTCAGTGTTAATATTTTTCATATTGTAAGGATAATTGGCAAGAATTCAACGTGAGAAACGAACGAATTTATTGTTAAAAGCATTGGGTGCGTTAAATTGCGTATAATAACTCGTGTATCTTGAACTTGCTACAGCTCGCGTCTCCGGCACCCGTTATGGGAACGCTTTGTCAGCTGCTACTTCTGCGGCACAAAGCCCTCATCAGTGACTAACATATTATCTCAGTGGATCCATGACAGGGGTTTTAGCGCGAGCATTCTATCAATTAGGTTAGTCACTTTTATCAGAAGGATGATGCACGTTTTTCCACTCAATTCGCAGCGTGACGAGAGAGGTTGATGATAACTGTCAATTTATTTAACACTTCGTTATTCAAGCAATGCAACTGATGCAGAAGTCATAATATTTGTGTGTCAGTGACTATTTTCTACAAGTCGCCGCGTCTGCAATTTTCAAGCCCATACGTATTCTTGCGGAGGTTGATACCCCTTAAATTTGGCGACGTTCATAATTTCTCGACGTAAATTATTCATCAGGGCGATTCGTCAAAACCAACTTAAATGCACTGTTGTCGAGCGTAAAGCATTCTAGTAGCATGTTCGTGCGGTAATGTTACAATAATGTAATTTAAACAAGAGACGAGATCATTTAAACTAGCTTTAGCAAAATAACATCATTAAATATAAAGTCTTAAATTGTTTCTGGGCAAGACTGTACTTTGCAGGAAAAAGCACCATTCCGCTTACAAGGAGACGGCTTTTACAACCCAAGAAATCATTCGATCTAAATTAGTTCTTCCACTATTTTCCATGGTTGAATGTTTTAAATATGTATCTATATCATGAACTTAAATCTGGATATTTTTGTCGAAGACATTTTGCTAATAAACTTGGTTTCCATTGAAAGTTATTAGCTACCTTAACGCGCGTGATGAACGATGGTGCAGAGTAATTGATTTTTTTAAGGTCTAGGTGGGTGATTATGAGCACTACAAATCAACTCACACACCGGGGCTTCAAACTCAGTGATCATGTTTCAAGTGATCATATTATCGTTCATTCATGAGCGGCATCACAATGATAATAGTGTGCTAGATTATAAGCGATCGAAGGCATCATATGATAGGAATGATCAAAGTCCTGATGCATAGCTACAGCCACGCGCTTATATAGTCTCACGTCACCAGCTAAAGTGCAGATTAATATAAAAAACATTAAATAGATTAATATGCGATGCCTGTCGCAAAGCCTACTACAAAACAAAGAGTATCACAGTAAAATAAGGGCACGAAGGTGACTATTTTTCAAGTAGGAACATCCGGTACAATTCTTCCTTTTTCTTGTCTTGGAAGCGAGGCACGAAGTTGACGGTGACGATGTCTTTGAAGCCTTCGCTCAGCTCCGGCTTTTCGAACTTCGAGCTGGAACAAAACATGATGCACAAAAGAAGACATTAAAAATATAAGAAATAAATCAAGATCGTGGTATAATCAGACTAGGCACAAGGTATGGTTATGACTTCCAGGGATGGAAATACTAATGAATAAATGGGAGCAAAATGTGCCTCACTTGTACATGTTGTAGACCATCTCGCTCACTTTTGGACGCTTCGGCTCAGTCAGCTCACGGAACTAGAAAAATAATAATAGAATAATCTTCAAAATGATGATAAAATAATCATTTTTCATAATTTTTTTTAATCGTAATAATAAACAAGCCTACTAATTAAGTAAACAGCACGAGTCTTATCACGCTTCATAATATATATACACGTTGCTATACACAGGGATACACGTTGCTCTCTGTAGATCCCCATTTGAATGATGTACCCAATCATCGACTAAAATAAAAATTGCTGTCAGAATTTTCATCAATATTCTGACTTTGCGGCTCTAGAAGACAATAAAAGCGATGGAGAAACTGACAGGTATCACAAGCGTCAGTTTTCAAAGTGCTATGTGATTGGACATAAAAACTGCACTGGTGATTACACAACTAAATATGAAAACGAGAACGCCGTCTGCCCTTTGATTCATAACCCTGCCTTTCGGCCACTAACCCTGTTGTTGTGCTGCCACCCACCCTGTTGTTGTGCTGCCACCCACCCTGTTGTTGAGCTGCCACCCACCCTGTTGTTGAGTTGTGCTGCCACCCACCCTGTTGTTGTGCTGCCACCCACCCTGTTGTTGTGCTGCCACCCACCCTGTTGTGCTGCCACCCACCCTGTTGTTGTGCTGCCACCCACCCTGTTGTTGTGCATGGCGTGCTGCTTGTTGACGTTAAACACGAAGCAGCGCGCCGGCACCCCCACGTCCTGGGCCACCTTCAGGTAGCGCGCCCGTGAGGCGCGGTCAGGGTTTGTGTTGTCAACCACGACGCGGCCGCCGTCCTGAGAAGCATGCGAGGTAAAGCGGCAACAACGGGCATAATTAGAACATGTATCCTGGGAAATTTTCTTAAACGCGTAAGAGTAAACATAGGTTATGATCGTAGGATTGTGTCATGGCCACAAGGGCGCCGTAACAGCGTGGGTATGTTTATCTTACGAGTTTACAATGAGCAATGATGAATAACGTTATAAGTATTGCTTCAGAGCGCGGGCCATCTAATATGCAGGAATTAGGCATATGAGGGAACATTACTCTAAAACCGTGTTGCTGCTATATGTGATGTTAAGCGAGTCAAGAAAATTTTAAGGCAATTCACAAATAGTAAAATCCCAAAGAATTTACTTTTGAACGTATATAGGTTTAAAAAAATTCCAAAGTTGCATGTACAAATTAATCATAATTATGTCAAATCTGTCCTATTGAGCGCTCCTCACATTTCATGTCATTATTTAATGTATAAAAGTGAATATGAACATTAAGCAGCTTTGTTTTCCACCGTACAACTCAATGCAGCATGTAGTAACTCAAGTCGCTGGTACAGAGACCAATGCAATTTATTTTAATTAATAGTCACTGAGTCATAGTGTCCCTTACATTATAGTCATAATGCGAAGCAAAGAATATTTTGCATTGGTTACATATATAAAAATAATTATAACTCAGTACTCACTGCAGTGAGTGACAGAGAGCGCATTTGGTCGTTGACGAAAACATGAAGTCACGGACGGACAGACAGACAGACGAACATGGCGAGCACAACAGTGCATTTTTTTCATAAATGAGAAAATGGGCTAAAATAGGCAAATAAACACGGGCTTGGCTCTCAACAAAGACAAGTTGCTGGGCCACCTGGAGCGTCTTCTGGACGAGGGAGGCGCAGCGCTGCCAGGTGCCCAGCTGGTCTCTGTTGGCCGCCACGTAGCCGTGACTGCGGCAGAGCTCGTCGCTCAGCAGCGACTTGCCTGACCCAGGGAACCCAACCATCACCACGAGCTGCGACAGAGGGGAGATGTCAGCACGAGACTTGCGCTAAATTGGCAAGGATGAAATTAACGTTTAACATTAATAATTTTAGTTGCGTCAAAGCTGCAACTAAATGCCTAGTGAGCACGAGACTTGCGCTAAATTGGGCAAGGATGAAATTAAGGTTTAACATTGATATATTTAGTTGCATCAAAGCTGCAACTAAATGCCTACCTGCAGTAATGAAACACCTGATTTTTTTTGTTAAAGCATCACAGTGCTATGTCGACACTTTGTATCTAACGACCGCCATACAATAAAAGGTGTCACTGAAAACGTCTTAAACGATGTTATTCACAAAACACAACGTCCCTTGATGTTCATAGAAAACGTACATTAGAAGTAGAAGAAATTGAATTTTCAAGATTTTTTGCAATGCGATTTTTCTAAGAAGAAAATGAGAAATAACAACAGGACAAAAATTTTCCAGAAGATATCAGTTGAAAAAAAAATACAGCTAAAAAATTTCGGACCAACGATGTGATGGGAGTGCACTTTAATGGCAAAAAAAAGTTTAAATTTCAGTCTGGCGATTGGCAACTCAAAATCATTTGAGCACTAAGAAATTATTGCAAATAGAAAGTGAAATTGTTGTCCTGAATTCATTATTTTTCAAGGCGAGTGACAGTCATTAACAAGAGCATTGGACCAAAATGCTCCAGCATAAATATATAGGAAAGTTAAGTTCAAACTCTTAGTGAGTTTTCATAAGTACATTTTCTGCAATCGCAATAATGTTCAGTAACTTCAAAATCACTGCGTAATGCTGGTGCCAAGTATTATTGATTAAATAACTATGAGAATAAATTGAAATGTTTTGAAATTTTAAATATTTCACGCAAAAGAAAATTCACGAATGCTAAAAATTTGCTCCCTTGTCTAAAAATCACTCTCTTCCGGCCATGTCAGAAAATATGTTTCTAGTAGCATTGACTATATTATTCACACAAACTCAAGTTGCTGATGAATTTGGAGCAATGAAACTCAAATAAAAATGTAAAGCCGTCCCATTTACCAGAAAAGAAAAGTTTGTGATATTAAATTTGCTTTATTAGTAGTTGGCCTAAAATGAATTGAATATTGATCGTTACCTCAGACGCGTGGGCTGGCACCTTGGTGGAGGCCGGGCTGTAGAGCGGCCCGTCGGCCGTCACGACGCGGGGGTCGAACGAGGGTAGCAGCATCGTCTCGGGCTTACGACCTATAAACAGTTATAGGAGATATTACAACTTCCTGTGAGAAATTTGTGATACTACACACCGGCAATGCTACTTTTAACTTCAAGTTTTAAAGTTTAACATTTAAACTTGTTACCTAAAGTATAAGAGTAAAAGCAAAAGAGTAAAAAGAGTTGGATTTTCAGAAAGGAGACCCTACACCATATTCTCACTGAATTTTTCAAATCACGATAATTGAGATCCAACGCACTGGTACATCAAATCTTCTTCATTGGCCCAATAACTCCTCATAAGATGTGAGGGGAAACATGGAAATAATAGGGCGATTGTTCTATAAAGTACAATGACCACAATTACTAGTGCTTCAGGACAGCTAATGAAATATACCGACTGACATGTAAACAAAATTCTCCCTGCAACAACAAGCAACATACTTGAGGTACTTAAGTCCTAAGGACGCTTAGAAGCTAAATGTCCCGGAAAAGATCCTTTACCATGTGATTATTCCCACAACAATTATTGTGCTTAGCTTTCTTATGGATTGTTACACGGTTCATAGAATAATCCACACGATACCTCTAGCCGTATCATACACTCTACAGCTGTGGTTTGCACAAGTTTGTGGTATAATCACAGGCAGCTTGTGTTCCTTGAGGCGATTATACACACCAGAAACAAGCAAGACCAGGAATTTAGACATGCACACAACCACACCACTGACCAAGGAAGTGCTGCTCAGGTGTCTCGAATGGCACGCCGAGGTTGAGGGCAAAGAGTCTGTCTGCACACGAGTGATCTTTCTTGCGCGTCTTGGGCACTTCAGGCCTGCCTGCTGCATCTCCTACGTACACGCTCTCCGTCCGCTCAACCGACACGCCTGAGTTGCACTGCAAGCAACAGAGAAAATTAAAGTTGGCCAAGTTAAACAATAAAGTGTGCAAGGCCAGCCAGAGTTGTAACTCATATGCTGCCTATGATAGAGCCTGTGTCGAGTGTATAATGTTAGATGGGGCAGTAAGAAAATGTCAAGAGTTTACAGCACTATATTACATATATTTATATGTATCAAAATAATAAGACATTATTTCAATTAGTGGGTGACCTGCAATTTTATTTCATTTAGTGCAAAACATTCTCCCACTATATTGGGCTACAAAAATTCACATGTTCCTCAAAGTAGTTCCACATGTAGGGGAGAGGCTTGCGGTATTTGCTGGAGTTTGTAGCTACAAAAGCCTGCACTGGCACACCCAGTCTGCCAATGATGCTCTCTATCTTGCCCTGTATGCCGGCTGCTGTCTGCTTACCGGTCCCTGTAAATAGTTCTGGCTGTAATTGACCGTAGTAAGGGTAGTAGATTGCACATTTCATGTGAGAACTAATTGATTCCTACTTTAGCTTGGCCGTGGAAGAGCAACTTTGTTTTAATGGAAGAGCAAATTTGTCTTTCTTGAAGCTTGATGGTAAAAAAATGCATGGGTTTTATGGAAAGACAAACTTGTATCTGCTGTAGCTTAACACTAGCAAATTGTTTTTTTTTTTTTATTCAAGGAAAAACTATTTAAAAGGTGTAGACCAGTGGTTCCCAAACTTTTTCAGGCTGGCGCCCCCTTTGGCTCCCTAGTGAACTTCTAGCGCCCCCCACAGACACATATAAAAACATACGCCTCTTTCTTGAAATTTAGTACGCTGCAATTTTAAACGATAAATGTTAAACACAAATGTGTATTTCACAAATAGAACCCCATTTAGTGAACCAATATGTTTTTAGCTGTTTCAACTGTTTCAGCACTAGAAACCTAGGACGTCTCGGGCAAATTCACGGCCGGACTCGTGGCCAGTCGCACGACCAATCTCCAAATTCAATTATCAAGTAATATCTCCCAACCTAATGAACGCAGCTCAAGGAAACTTGGAACATATTATTCATCAGAACCTAACGTTGACTTTTAGCTCATAACAAATTTTAAAATTTCACCTTCATTCGTGAGCTATATTGCGATAAAGGCCGAAATTCGCAGTGATCAAAGAATTTCTTCCAAACTACTAAACAGATTTTAACGAAATTTTGAATATACATTCCTAACTACCAAGCGTTGATTTATTTTGGCTTTTAAAATTTTTCGATTTTACCTTCGTTTGCGAGTTTTTTTTTTCATTTCACAGTCATTCTCGATTTCATACTTCCTTATATTCGGCCCGTATCGCCGGATAATTTGTCGCTTAAATTCGCGGCGATCAAGAAATTTCTTTTAAACTACTGAACAGATTTCAACGAAACTTTGTATATAAATACCTAACGTCTCAACGGTGATATTTAGCTCGACAATTTTTCTATTTTGCTTTCGTTCGCGAGTTATACAGATATAGGAGAAACGACCGGCTTTTCTACTGGCCGGTTTAACCAAGAGCCGTTTACGTATAGCCGTCTAACTCGCAAACGAAGGCAAAACGAATAAATTGTAGCGAGCTAAACATCACCGTTTCTGAGGTTAGGTATTCAAATACTAAGTTTCGTTCAAATCCATTCAGTAGGTTTGGGAGGAATTTCTTGATTACTGCGAATTTAAGCACGTATTGCTGTTTAAATCAGGAATGAAGGTGAAATGGAAAAAAAACTCGCGAACAAAGGCTCAATCGAATAAATTTTCATGAGCTAAACATTAACGTTCGGTAGTTAGGACTGTAAATTCAAAATTTCGTTCGAATCTGCTCAATAGTTTGGAAAAAATTTCTTGATCACCCGGTACTGTGAATTTCGGCCCGTATTGTCATATAACTATGGCAAAAACAAATGAAGGCAGGATTAAAAAAAATATTCACGAGCTTAACATTACCGTTAGGTCCTAATGAATACGTGTACCAAGTTTCATCGAGTTAAGTTCAATAGTTTGAGAGATATTCCTTGATCATTGAATTGAAAATTGGCCGTGAAATCGGCCCGAGTCCGGCCGTTAATTTGTCCGAGACGTAAACCCAGGAGAGGTTAAAAAAACAGATCTGGGTGAAAAAAAACCATCGCTGGGTGTCATTATGTTCTGTACGTGTTGTGTACAAATCGTCAAACAAACGTTCGAACTTCTGACTTCGACTTCGGACTACCGCCCCCCTATCGCCCCCCAAACGCTCTCTTCTTCCTTACCGCCCCCCAAAATCTTGCCACCGCCCCCAGGGGGGCGATATCGCCCACTGTGGGAACCACTGGACTGTAGACAAACCAGCATTTTTTGTAACTTTTCTCCATTGATGAGTTATCTCCACTCTCAAAGATGTAAATTCAAAATAAAAATAAATAAAATGTAAATAAAATTGTTTTAATTTCCTACAAAGGGTTCATTGCTTCCACTAAGATTATCATCTCTAAAAATAGCATAAAAAATTATAAACCTATATTTCATGCCACATAGCCAGCAGAAGAAGAATGTAGGATTGTTCTCAACAGAACAATACAGCAAGCAACACTTTCTCTGACCTTAATAATTGATTTCAATTAGAGTAGCCATTTACAATGCTCTTGGATTGGAAATCATTTAAAATTATCAAATTAATTTTAATCAAGACAAATTTGTATTTCAGGCTTACAACCTGTACTGCCTCTCTAATGACAAATTTGGCATTTTTCAAGACTTGGGCATTCACTTCTTAATTAATGTGCATTCTATGAGATTCTATGATGAAGCAATAAAGTAATAAAGAGATTTAAAACGATGCCCAATAACAAAGCAAGATTTCTTGAGTTTTTATTTGTATTTCTTACCAATGCCAGCCTGATTAGTGAAAAATAAGATCTTGAAGCCATCTTGATGCAAGCTTTTGAGCTTGCCAGGAACTTCTGAAAATATTATCTTCCAGTCATTGTAGTCCGTGGCAAAAACACGACCAGATTGAGTGGTTATCAGAGTTCCATCCATGTCATAAGCTGCAACCTGAAACCATTAGATATATGTATATAAATACAATTATGGGAATAGGTAACTCCAATCTATTTCATATCAAACAAACATGAAATTTATTTGATTTAAAAAAATTGTAGGGTTGATAGTTGTGATAGTTCAATTAGTAAATATGCGCTAAGAATCATAAGAATTAGCACTGCAAACATGTGATCATGAGTCTTAAATTTTTCAAATAAAAGGAGATTATTTCCTTAACCCAGTACCTTACCTTCTGTGAGCCAGGAGAAAGGTTGGCATTGTAGATAAGCAGGTCACCACTTTCAACAGATTTCCAAAAGCCTTCAGTCTTCAATTTCTTTGTACTGGAATCTTCATTTGCTGAAGTCTCTCTTTTTCTAGTTGTAGTAGCTTTTGGCTCCACTGCCTTGACCTTAGGCATGCTTTTTAGAATGGACAACGTGGGGTCCCTTTTCACTTCCACAAGAACTTTAGAGATGGAATCTTCTTCACTGATGCTGCCTTCTCCAAGAGAACTTTTCAACTTGTCTGAATCACAAGATGGTTCTAAATTAAAGTCTGGGGGTTTGTCTTCAGTTGAAGTTGGAGGAGGCGGATCAAATTCTATTCTATACTTGTGACTGCCAGCCAAGACCTGCCCAGGTTCATATTGGATTCAACACATCACCATAAAACAGATGCATTAAATCAGCTCTGGAAAATTGAAGAAGCATCAATACAAAAGCCTACTAACATCATAGATAGCATGACATTACACCATGAAGACATTAAAAATATATAAACATGCAACTTATCAAAGAAGTTTTTTGATTTGAGGCTTCATATACAAATAAAAAAATTAAACATATCCCTAAATGAGTTGAATCAAACATACAAAGCTTTTAGGATACATAATTCCATGCAAATTTACCAAATTTATACACAACTGAACATTAATAAATTGCTATGATTCATCTATATAGGTAAATATAGTAGCCTCTGGAAATTAGTTCTTATTTGAGTGATTCTGATCTCAATTACAGTGTCAAGTTGTTTAGGATATCTTGCTTCTGAGCTGCACAAACCTTCAACACATCTTATTTGGAAATTAATGCAAACTATTTGTTCCAAGATAAGAGTTTTTAGAACAAAACTTAAGATCAATGACAAAAATTTAGAGACAAAACCAATATATACTGACAATTGGCTGGCCTCTGCAAAATTTTTCTGTTGATTGAGGTAGAGACACCATTCTCATGTATACATTCACAAAGAATTTGGAGCTTCCTAAATTGTGGGAAAATTAACATTCCACAATTTCTTGTTAATTTTTTTTTATGTACCTGTGTTAAGATTTGATCAGAAATAAGACTTTGTTATATTTTTCAAAAGTCAAGATCAAAAGTATATTTCTTGGGTTCAATAGTACCTAAGACTACACACAAATGAGAGTCAAGCTGTTTTTAGCGCATTTTTTCATTTATGGAAAAAAGGCGCTTTTGTCCTTGTCATGTCCGTCTGTCCATCCGTGACTACTTGTCACGGACGGACGAGAAAATGCACTCTCTGTCACTCACTGCAGTGAGTACTGATCTAATTTTTTTCCTGTCACCAGACTTGCTTGCATTTCTCCACCATAAAAACCTTTCCCTGATGAGCATATAATTATTGCATATACATTTGCTAAAAATTTGCTTGCTCAATGTCCTCAATTTCCAAAACAAGAACAGCAAAAAATAATTAATCAGGTTAGGATAACAAATCAAGTGCTGTAATTGTTACACTCCTCTGCATCTATATGTACTCTATTAGTTATTTAGACCAGGGGTCTCCAAACTTTTCACACTGCGGGCCACATTATATATTTCCAATATTTATGCGGGCCGAATGAATAAAAAAATCAGTGCCAGTAATTTTATTTACCTAAATATTAAGGTATAACAATGGAAAATTTAAAACATATATTTTTGTGAAAAATCAGGGTAAACTAAATAGATGCCTGTCTTTAGTTTTATTTAACCAAATTAGAGTGACGAATGATGCTGTCGTTTTGACTTCAAAATTTCATTAAAATCCGGTTTCAGATTAGATGAGCCAATTGTAAGAATTGATTTAAAGTGATCATCAGACAAATTTGCTTGATAGTTAGATTTCACATACTTCATTTTGGAAAATGTTTGTTCACACGAGTATGTTGAACAAAAAATGGACACAAAACTACAAGCAAACTTTATAAAATTTGGAAACTGATCTGGCTGCAGGCATTTATAGAACTCAATCAGATTTCCTTCTCTACACTTATCCTTCAGTCTGTCATCTGCCTGGAGATCAATAATTTCCATTTGAAATTGAGTTGGAAGATTCTTCAGAATTGCTGTCAAATGGATTATGAAAGAGCTGTGCTCCTTGAAACGGAAGCAGCAAAGCCCCACTCGGCCTCCATCCCCACACTATACAGTTATACACAACTGATTGCTTGTAATGCATATCACATACCTACCAATATTAGTATCTGTACGTCACACTATCGAGAGAGAGGACAACTGACTGGGGATGAGCGCCACTAGTCAGCAGGCCCCAGCTTTAAATAATTTTGCGATGCCATTCGTACAGTACAATAATTATTTATTAATTTCACGATTTCGTCCGGCGGGCCGCGGGCCGGATAAAATTGTGTGGCGGGCCTGATGTGGCCCGCGGGCCATAGTTTGGAGACCCCTGCAAATTACTAAGAAATTAAGAATATTTGAAATTTTTTAAGCTTATTACAATTATATTATTCTCTTCATTGTATATAACAGCTTCAGGCAAGAGGCACTGGCACTATATCCACATCCACTTCTATACCTAAAATAAATGAGTCTCCAAAATTCCACTAGGTTCTGAGTCAATTTGGGAAACAGGAATTATATATGTAGGTATACCAAACATTTCTGCCAAATGCTTTACTAAAATCCAATTTATAATTTATCAAGTTAATCAAGTGTTAAGTTAATCGAACTCACCTCTAATATGTCCCCGTGATTTGCAAGAAGAGGAGTTTTTTTCTTCAACAAGTTGCCATTTAGAGCAGAAGGATTACTACCCAGTTGCATCAACACACATTTGAAAGCCGGAAAATTACATGTGATCTCAACTGAAACAGAGGTGAGAATTCAATAGACTAAATTACAGGATTGGTGATTTTTTTGATTTTTTAAAGAAATAAAAAAAATCAAAAATCAATTATTTTTTCTATTTTTTCATGATATTTTTAATTTATTTGATTTTTTTATTTTTTCAGCTTTTTTGTCTTTTTGAAGTGTTATTTTTTATGTTGCAATTAACCTACTAACAATAACAGTAAACGGATCATAATGGATGGCTGAAAAGGGCACTTACTGCCTTCAATAATGGCCAACAGGCCAAGGTGGTGTTTACCACTTAAGGATTTTTGGGTAAACAATTATTGTTTACCCAACAAGTCTATTCATTAGCTTTGTAAAGTTTGTATGGAGCAAGGTAATGAGCTAAATATTGACCATTTAACTGGCTTCAATATACAAAAACACTTCAGGAATGTAGATCTTCTTAACATTGAAGAGTCACATAACAGATAGGTAGCTGATAGCACAGTGCACAACACTATCAATAGATCTATTAGTTTTATGTCATATAAATCTACCAGACTCTACCCTCTATACACACCGACTGGTGGTGACTGAGTGACTGACTGCACTGTTCCCAATTAATTCAGACCAATAAACCAATACTAAAAATAAACTGAACGATAACCACACAAACCTCATACGACTTGAAACGAGACTTAAGTTATGAGAAAATCTAACACTGTTTAAAATAAATATGTGTACAATTCAAATATTTTATATCCATTTACTGCTTTTAATTTTTTATATATATAGTCTAATAATTGCAATTGTTTTGTTTCTAGTTTTAAATTCACATATTTAAAGACTGCAATTAAATATTTTAATTAGAATACTCATATTAAAGTGGAGAATCTTTCTAATTGCCTAAAAGGTCAATACAATCTCAACCTCTCAATATACAGGGTGGGGCAGAACCGATTGAGCAGTTTTGCGGTAAAATAAAAGAGTAATGGAGGTACATAAAGAAGAAAGTTTATTTTCCTAGAGGTTAGCATAACATACCATTTAGAATACTTATGTTTTAGAAACAATATCTGGAAGATGGGAGCCGTTAGCTGCAACACACTGTTGGAGTCGTTCTCAGAGGAGGGAGTAACCATAACAGTGAATTCCGATCGCTATGCAGCAATGTTGCAAAATTTCATGCAGCCCATGATGGAAAACATTGTTGAAAATGAAGCATTGGGAGACGTGTGGTTCCAGCAGGATGGGGCTACAGCTCACACAGCCCGAATGTCACTCAATGTTTTGAAACGCATGTTCCCACACTCTGAGGGGTGATTTACAGTGGCCTGCGAGGTCACCTGATTTGAGTATTTGCGATTTATTTCTTTAGGGACATCTAAAAGAAAGGGGTTCAGAAGTCGCCCTCACACCCTACCTCAGCTAAGGGAATGGATTATTGCAGCAGAGGTTATGGCCATACCTTGCCATATGTGTGAACGTGCTGTAGAAAACTTCCAAGAATGACTCCAACAGTGTGATGCAGCTAACAAACCCCATCTTCCTGATATTGTTTTCAAAACATAAGTATTTTAAATGGTATGTTATGCCAATCTTGAGGAAAATAAACTTTCTTCTTTATGTAAGTTCTGCCCCACCCTGTATAAGCTAGCTAACACATTTAAATTGTATATTGTAATCAATATATAACAAATAGTCAAATAGTTAAAGACTACTTATAGCCTTATAAGAATTAGCTAAGCTGCTAGCTACGTACAATGTATTGCACACTTGATGCCTCTGTACCAAAAAAATTCAATTTATTGAAACCTAATACACACTAAAGGCAACAAGTTTATATACCAATTTGTCATTCATAGTACATTTATACTAAACCATGATTAACAATACTGGTACCTCAATATAAATTAAATACTGCCACTCAATATATTTAAATATATGAAAAAATAAAAAAAATCAAATAAATAAAAAAAAATAAAAAAAAATCATGATTTTTTTTATAAAAAAAATCAAGTGATTTAATCACATGATTTAATCATTGCCAACAATGCTAAATTATACTGAAAAATACATATATAGATTATGCAGGGAATGCATAATTGATGAATTACTTGGCATCAACAATGTCTTCCATAGTAGGTCAACTTATTACCTGTTTAGCTTGTTGCAAGCAAATAAGTTAAACAAAAATGTAATTTTAAATCCATTCAAAATTTCCAGACCATGAACAGACCAACTTATTGGCTATTTTAATTTATTTTTCTTGTTCATAGTCATAAACTGAAGAAGATTTACAACAATAAATAAATGCTTACGCCGAGATAGAAGCTCTTTCACTAACAATATTATATATAGGCTGAAGTTCAATTTATTTGATGCCTACAAGCAATCAAATAGAAATGAAGGTATGAAATAGCTGCTACTGACAAGTTTGCAGATTTCTAGTAGCCAACTGCACTATAGTCATAACAAACTACTTCCATCTTTACTGATCTGAAAGCTGAAATGGCTTTTTTATTACCGTCAACCGGGCTACTCGGGACGGTTTTGAGCGTTTTTTGTTAATAATTTCTTACCATGCAACATTTCATAAACAAGTTTAGGCTCATTTTATAGCTCTTTGCGAGGGCTATCAAATGGCATCTTAAAAAAAATCCATATGCTATTTGTTAAGGTGCCAGAAGCAAAAAAAGTGTCCCGAGTAGCCCCGTCGAATGGGGCTACTCGGGACACTTGGAATAAAACTTCATTTTAAAATATTTGAAGCATGCAGAATGTACTCATTCATTACTAACAGTACTCTGAAATCCTCCTCTTTCATTGTAGATGATGTAGAGGTAGAATAAATGACATTTTCTGTGATTTTTACTCGTTTTTCCTTTATTGATATATTACCATATACATTGATTACCGTAGTATTGATGCAATATTACCGTATCCATGAACATGCCATTGAGCATTTACAACAACCTTGTCCACTGCAAGCTTCATATCAGCAGCCTTATAGCATTTTTACTGTATCTGTAAGCTTACAGGACGGCTTGTAATTTCACACTAATTGGGTTAAGTGAATTTACTATAAAAAAAGATCATGAAAAACATACCTGAAACAGAAAGGAATGTTTTAGTGACAACCATCATATGTTTTGCAGAAATAAATCATAGTTTAGGTCAATTACTTTTCATTCTATGATGCCTGGTGCACAATTCTATATATGACATTCTATGCACAATTTTGTGATGACCGATGATGCACTAATTTTTTGATAAGTGAAATTTTTTTCGCCGAGCGAGGTAAATGTAATCAATATTCTTTGTTTTTATTAAATTTTTTTTCTTAACTGGAGCCTTTGCTTACTGAGGTTCTACTGTAAATGCGTTTTTGGGGGTGTTACAAATAGCCCCGGGGGGTGTCCTGAGTAGCCCCGCCGTGCGGATATGGCTTCCATTTTTTTTGGGGATTGAGGTATGTAAATTCTGCAAATAAAATTTTCAAGCCAACACCTGGGTGCAACTTTTATGTAGGTAAAATTTTTTAATACAGAAAATATTTTTTTTACTACAGACCTTAGCAGAAGTAACTTTTCAAAATAGCATTTATCACCATTTTTTTCAGGAATTTTTCAAAGCTAGTAAATGTAGTATTTTTTGCCTTCTTTTATACTACATAGATAGGAAAAATGTTGGCGTTTATCAAAATAAAAGAAAATGCTTCAGTGGTAGGTGGGACTGTGGGTGGCAGTTAGCCATCCAAAAATTTGCTTAACCACTAGGCTAAGAGGATATATACTACTAATTCCAGCATTGGAATTTATGCTTAAGTGAAAAGGGCATTCTGGATCTGTAGAAACTGTAATTGTATAATTTGTAGGTATATAGGTAAATTGTACAGTTTACCATTCATTGCAGTCCCCTAACACAGAATATGCAGCTTGAAAGAACCAGGCTAGGGTTCATTTATTTTTGAAGATGAAATAAAATACATAGTATATAACAATTGAACCTTCCAAAAATCAATCAGATACCTATATGAGTCATTTGTAAAATAAGTAACTAACTTAGAAGCTAAGAACAATAGAAATGCAAAAATAAAAAAGCTTTATGTATTCTTCACAGTTCACACAAACATAATCCCAAAGTGTTTCTATAGCTACATTATGATAAAAGAATGACAATAGAAATTTCATACCTTGCTGTTTTGAACATCTTTTGTCTTTTATTCTAGTATCTCTTGATCTTCCAATACAAATTGGGTCAGAATTCCATACAGAGAAATCACTGTGAGATTCAGGACTCAAACTTCTCAAGACACACTTTGACATTGTGCCTCTTGCCATTAAAAAAACAACCAAAAGTCAAGAAGACCTGATGAAAGAAAACTATGTTTAACTTCTTAATTGCATTGCATGAATCATGAATGCATGATTAGCTAAGGAAACTGACTAGGATTAGAAAAAACTAAGGGCCAAGTGTAGGTACATTTAATGATATACACAAATTATAGTACATTGTTTTTTGTTTACATAATATACCTAATATTTTGAATTAGACCAAAGAATAAAAAATGAAATGGTTTATTGAAAATATAGTATAGCTGTATGCCTGTATAGGTAGCCAAGCCAAGAGCCAACTGCCTAAGGTAAGTGAAAGTGCCACTGCCAGACACAGACCAGAATCTGCTAAATCATCGATGAGACAATGAATAATGTCACTAGACTGCTTGAATTGCAGATTCACTAGAAATTTAAAAGCGAAGAAAATGCCACAAAAACTCAGCATTTCTCTATTGAAAACGTTTCAGAGACCAGCTCCATCGTCATTTTGATAAATCTAGAACACAAATAGTCAGAAAATTAATAAAGTTTGGAGTCATAAGAAGAAAAAACACAAACAACAAAAGTTAAAACCTAAATTTACCGGCAAAGGGCAGAATAATAAAGAAATACCTATCTATTCACAATTTCTAATGAATAAGAACTGCATGCAGCATTTAAACTAGGCTTCTCTTTAAAAATATACAATGATTCCAAAATGCACAGATCGGAAGCACCAGAACTAAAAGCTACCCTTAAAGTCAGTGTCGGACACCGGAACGTTGCACTGTTCGGCGTGAGTGCGCACAGCCGAATGAGGAGGGCATGATAGTAACTGCCCAGTCCTATAACTCCTCCCTTTATGCTCAGCAACCCTAGTGTAAAAGTTGCGTGCCATCATCCCAACGTACGCAGATGCACATCATGCACAACTAAATTTATAAACTAGGGACGATTGCATGTGAGAAGGGAGGATATCTTTGTATCTAAAAAAACAAACCTACTTTGAAATTATTAACCAATAAGATACGAAGATTAATGTCCGGAAAGTATTTCATAAACAAATCTTTTAATTCTCTTGACATAACTTCAGACGCATGGCCGAAGTATGGAAAAGAACAGTAAACCACTTTTCTACTATCAGGCTCTGGAACAACTTCACTGTATTGCTTAGACATGAATTTCTTAACCTGGGTAAACACCATGCCAGAAGGAAATCCATTAAGCAAGACGTTGCGCAAAAATTAAAATTCAGAATGCATGGCATGGAAAGTCGAGCATATACAAAAGCCTCAGTGTAATAGTGTTTGAAGCCCATTTAACTTGAATCTAAAAGAACAAAAACTATAAAAGCTGGTGCTTAGGCTGGTGAAAGTTGATTTTCTGAAAACAGATGTTTGAAAACGGCCATTAGATTTAGTAATATTGCAGTCTAGAAAGGACAAACTATTGTTCGATTCAAGTTCCACAGTAAATTTAATAGAATTATGTTGCAAGTTTAAGTAATCGAAGAAAAGTTTTACATGAGAGGGATGCTTGAAAATAAGAAAGGTGTCATCGACATATCTGTTATAAAAATTCCGACCAATTTTTGCCGCATATAATACTCCTAGTTTTAAACTGGCTAAGTTTTTAGTTCCGGTCTTGAACTGTCTTACAACTAACCAGTATACAGTAGACATTTCTTATACTTTTGTTGACCGCTTGAAAGATTTTACTGATGTTCAGGACTTAACAATGGCCTCCTTAGACGTGGAAAATTTATTTACAAATATACCGCTATTTTAAACTATTGAGATCTGTCTAAATACTTTGTTTAAAGATATTCATGATACTGTTATTGGTTTGAACCGAAATTTTTTTAAATCCCTGCTGGAATTATCAGTTCTAAATTCAATTTTCATATTTGCTGGTAAATTTTACAGACAGATTGACGGTTTGGGCATGGGTCTTCCCCTCGGCCCAACCTTTGCAAATATTTTTATGTGTTTTCACGAAGTTTCATGGCTGACCAATTGTCCTCCTGATTTTAAACCAATTTTTTATAACAGATATGTCGATGACACCTTTCTTATTATCAAGCATCCCTCTCATGTAAAACTTTTCTTTGATTACTTAAACTTGCAACATCAGTTCAGTTCAGTTCTCTCCGCACCATAAGGCGCACAAGGCTTGGACGTCACTCCTCCACTGGGTCCGGTTTGCAGCTGCCTGCCGTGCTATGTTCCACGAGTTCCAGCCTGCTCGGTTTCTCTCCTCTTCCACCATTCGCCTCCAAGTTGTTTTTGGGCATCCTCTCTTCCTCCTTCCTTCAGGTGCCCACCCGAGGGCCACAGCACAGTCGCTTGCTCTATCCTTCCTCAACACATGTCCCACCCAGTTCCACCTCCGTCTCCTCACCACATCACTGATTTTCTCCACTTCTGTCATATCAAGAACCGACTTGTTAGAGATGTGTTGCTGCCATCGGATCTTGCAAATCTTCCGTAAGCATTTGGTCTGAAAGATATCTAGTTTTCTCTCTTCTCCCCTAGTTAGTTTCCAGGTCTCACATCCGTATAACAAAACTGAAAGAACCAGGCTCTTGAACAGGGAGGTTTTGGTCTTTCTACTGATGTTTATGGCTTGCCAGATGTTTGTTAGTCTTTTGAATTGCGCGCTTGCCATTGCCACTCGCCTCCTCACATCCACTGTGCTCCCACCATCCTTTGTGACGTTTGCACCCAGATATGTGAAGCTCTCCACTTCCTCCACCTCGCTCTCTCCAGCCCTCAGCTTGTTGTTGCTCCCGCTGTTGACCTTCAATACCAGGCTTGGAGGGCCAGTGGTTTTCTGTCAGGGTTTCCTTCCCTTAGACTGCGTTGGTCCACGTCACCTTACGGTGTTCCCTCCATCCGCCACCCGGAGGACGCGCCTCGTACGCCGTGCAGTCCCAGCACGAGGAAACTTGCAACATAATTCTATTAAATTTACCATGGAACTTGAATCAAACAATAGTTTGTCCTTTCTAGACTGCAATATTACTATATCTAATGGCCCTTTTCAAACATCTGTTTTCAGAAAATCAACTTTCACCAGCCTAAGCACCAGCTTTTTTAGTTTTTGTTCTTTTAGATACAAGTTAAACGGGCTTCAAACACTATTACACTGGGGCTTTCGTATATGCTCGACTTTCCATACCATGCATTCTGAATTTTAATTTTTGCGCGACGTCTTCTCGCTTAATGGATTTTCTTCTGGCATGGTGCTTACCCAGGTTAAGAAATTCATGTCTAAGCAATACAGTGAAGTTGTTCCAGAGCCTGATAGTAGAAAAGTGGTTTACTGTTCCTTTCCATACTTCAGCCATGCATCCGAAGTTATGTCAAGAGAATTAAAAGATTTGTTTATGAAATACTTTCCGGACATTAATCTTCGTATCTTACTGGTTGATAATTTCAAAATAGGTTCATTTTTTAGATACAAAGATATCCGCCCTTCTCACATCAGTCACATGCGATCATCCCTAGTTTATAAATTCAGTTGGGCAGAATGTGCATCTGCATATTTTGTGTTGGGATGATGGCACGCATAGTGGCAAAGCAGAAAGTTTTTTAGACTCTCCCTCCAGTTCATTTTTGAGTCCTATAAGTAGACCAGTAAAGTATCTTGGATACCACATACCAGAATTATCATACATAAGAAATCTGTTAAAATCTTGAGTAAATGAGGAAATTAAAAATGAACTGATTCTAAAAAAATCAGTGGTTTGCCACTATGCACACAAGTGAAACAACGTAAGCAAGCCAGGCATTCGGTTATTTCTTTTTTACTAAATTAGTATATATGCATTAGGTAGTACCGTAGTAGGTACAGCCGTACAGGTGAAGGTGATACTGATTATAACTGATAGGTCCCCATCCCCAAATATCGTATTGAGATTTTTTCGTCGTAAGTTATTCGTGGCGGACCGGACTTCCATCACCTTTTCAAATCGTCTACTAATACTATAGATGGCGAATTACCTGTTTTACTATAACAAAGGCAGATGGCAAATGATTGATACAAACTTGGCGCTTCACGAATTGGGAACATTTCGCATGACGCAATCGATCGGTACGGAAAGCGGACATTGGTCTACCTATATCTGTCAATATACCGTGTCATCAATTAATCCTGTTATTGCAATCGTATCCGCAATACAAAAATTTAGAGATAATTCCAGATAATGATTAATGCCAGGCGTTACTTTACGGTCTGATATTGCTTAGTTAGGCATAGGGAGGTAGGGACTTTGATCGGAGCAGAATGGCCATTCATTTATAGTTGTAAATGAGGCTCCTCAGTCGTTACAAACAATTTATTCACTAGCATCTCTAAAAACTAACAGACAACTCTAAAACAATTTATTCACTAGCATCACTTACGAGAAATGGAGAGTAAGAGGCCAGCCAAGTTTCAGAACCTCTGCATCAATGGCAGACGTGGTTGCTGTGGCAATGATTGATTATTTACGGGTTGACGGATTGCTGTGCCATAGCGATTTACCATAAATTGCCAAACATCTTGCTATCTGATAAAGAAAGAAACAAAGATTGGAAGCAAAAACTTGAGCTGATGTGGAGATGTCGAGCAAAATCGGCAAGATTGCTAGGCGATCATGCAACGGGTACAGGCCGACGCAATCAAAGCTGACACTGCGAAATGCGAATTTCGGACCGCATCGCCAGATAACTCACGAATGGAGTCGAAATGAAAAAATCTTTTGTGACCTAAACATCACCGTTCGGTCCTAATGAATACGCGTACCAAGTTTCATCTAGCTGTATTCATTAATTTGGGATATATTCCTTGATCATTGACTTTGGAGATTGGCCGCGTGATCAGCCGTAAATTTGTCCGAGACGTCGAGTCCAGCCGTAAAATTGTTCGAGATATACGGAGATTTTTGATCTGGGATATTTGATAAATTTGAAATATTTATGTGCGTTCGGACTTCCTGCAAACGATATACAATAAGTTTCACCGCTGATATTATAACTGTATTGAACGTTTGTTTCATTTTGAAAGTAT